TGTTGCGTGACTAGTATCACACCACCCGTTTTCTAGAACTATATTGTTCCTTCATGAGTGCTCTAGCATTTGCTAGATTGGGGGTGGTCTGGTATATATAAGATGGTCACGGCATGATGTGACAATGTGTGTAGGTAATGAGTAATTGAACTGCAGTCAGAGAGAGATGTATTGTTGAAGTCGAGCTTGTGAGACGTGAATTATAGTTTGTTATCGCGCGACCGTTGAGTTGAGTGTATCGTAAAGTTGTATTTGGAAAGAATAAAACAGTTTTATTTAAGAAAGGGCTTGTGTCGCTAAAGTTTCGTCGGAACGAATTTACGGAAAATCAATTAACAAACGAAGACGTAACAGTATGTTGTATCAAAAGATAAAACTTGTGGTTTACCCACACTGCCATGGATAAATTTAGTACTTTAGAGTTAATAAAAAACATTCACACAGTGAGATTGTTATACCTTAATGTATCAAAAGATGAACCTTGTAGTTTACCCAACCATGCCACACTGCTATGGATAAATTGAGAGCTTTAGAACTTTAAAAAACAAATTCATACAGTGAGATTGTTATACTATGTTGTATCAAAACATAAACCAGGTGGCTTACCCATCCTGCCATGGATAAATTTAGTACTTTAGAGCTAAAAAAAAAATTTTCATACATTTAGATTGTTATTCTATGTTTATCAAAAGACTAGTTTTGTGTTTACCAAACCATGCCACACTGCCATGGATAAATTAATGCTTTAGAATTGAAAAAAAAATTCATACTGTGTTGCATCATAAGACAAACCTTGTGGTTTACCCAACTGTGCAACACTGCCATGGATAAATTTAGTGTTTTTGAACCTAAAAAAAAATTCATAAGTGAGATTGTTATACTATGTTGTATCAAAAGATGACTTACAGCAGAAGTTTTAGAAAAGCAACACTCAAGGCCAATCTAAAGACTATAGTGAGGTGTTGAAACTCTAATAACAATATTTGAGCAGTGTTTGTATTTTTGAGTTTAACCTTTAATTAGATGAACGTTGGTCTTTCCGCAGTGAAACATATTGTTCTAGTTTGAAACGTTATTCTAAAAGTGTGAATACAGTATTTTCTTCTTTCCAAAGTTTTAAATGTGAAGCAACCAAATAAATACTATTATGTAATAACATTTGTTAAATTTTGTCATATCTTCCAAGGAGAACAATGTAAGCAAACAAGAACATTTTGTTATGTTAAAGTAAGAAGTAATTGAAAGGTATTTGGAGAATAACTTAAACATTATGTAAACTATCTACCATTTTATGTTCTCAATTCAATAGTTAAATCTTTAACTTCACTGGGTTGTAATGATTTCTTTTTAATAAATTTTCTAAAGTTACTAGTTGAAAACATCCTTCTCATATCTATTTAGTATTTATACAATTATCTACTACACTGAAATATATTTTAAAGAAATATAAACTGAACTTCCTAAAATTCTACTGCCCCACGATATGAAATTTAATTAAAAATTTACTTTCATCTTCAGACATTCATGTTCTTATTACAAAACATCTATTGTTTATTCTCTAAAGCTTTACATAAAACAAGAACAAATAAATCACATACTTTACAAATATAGTACAACATAGCAACAAACAATTACCTCACAGCATTGTCATAAAAAAATAATGTGTTTGTATGTGTGCATTCAAATCAAAACTATTTCAGAACAAATAAATATTTACTGAATAGAGTAAATCAGATGATGTGAGATTAGTCATAGAAACAAGCTATTAATCATACTGAATGGCTAGCAAACATTTTTATAACAGTTGGAACTGTTTATCATAAAGCTCTCACTACCTGAATTAAAGCAGACAAATGTCTGTCATGTCATTGTCTTTCTAGTTCTTAATACGTTACAGAACTTTATGTCTACCTATACTTCAACTAAACGTGTCTGCCTCAGGTAATTTATAACAAATTTAGGAAACCTTAAATCACTTGCTGTTGTATTAGTTCAGTAAACAACATTATATTAACATTCCAGTTACAAGTTCTTATTAGTCTTGAGTTTGTTTATTAATATAAGGGAGGGATTGCTCCACTGAAACAAACTTTACATTATTCTTCTTTATAGCCTAACAGCTACCAAACAGAGCAGACAGAGCTCATCGAGGACTCCTTAACCGACCCTGCCACACGCTGTCACCTCTTGAATGTATAAGCTGCCTTTCTTGTTGCTTTTTCTGCCTTCTACGAATAGCATCCTCTCTTTTCTTTGCAATTTCATCGGGAGAACAAGGCTGACTACTGCTTGGCTGAGCTGTTAAAATAAAATAGCACCTTTTGATAACATACAATTCCAATAATGACAACTAGCTAAGTCTACATGAAACATGTTAATATGAATAAAGAGAACAGCTATGTCTACAGGAATCTTGTTAATCAACATCAATAAAGACAACCAGCTAAGTCTACAGGAATCTTGTTAATCGGCATCAATAAAGACAACCAGCTAAGTCTACAGGAATCTTGTTAATCAGCATCAATAAAGACAACCAGCTAAGTCTACAGGAATCTTGTTAATCAACATCAATAAAGACAAACAGCTAACTAAATAACACAGAAGTTTTAAACTAAATAATGGACCACTGTTAACTAATTAATACAGAAGTTTTAAAGTAGATAATGTACCACTGTTAACTAAATAATACAGAAGTTTAAACTAGATAATGTTTGACTGTTAACTAAATAATAGAGAAGTTTTAAAGTAGATAATGTACCACTGTTAACTAAATAATAGAGAAGTTTTAAACTAGATAATGTACCACTATTAACTAAATAATACAGAAATTTTAAACTAGATACTGTACCACTGTTAACTAAATAACACAAAAGTTTTAAACTAGATACTGTACCACTGTTAACTAAATAATACAAAAGTTTTAAAGTAGATAATGTACCACTGTTAACTAAATAATACAGAAGTTTAAACTAGATAATTTATCACTGTTAACTAAATAATACAGAAGTTTTAAAGTAGATAATGTA